CTCGCCCCCCCCCCCCCCCCCCCCCGCACCATGCTGGCATTCTGGCAACTGCAAAAGGCAAACGGGAGATGGGGGGGAGGAAACGACATGTCTCTGGCTACCCTGCCCCTGCATGAACAATTCCCTCCCCCACGGTTTGGTCTCTTCTTGCTGCTTCACCTGACCGGCCCCTCCTAGGACATGGGTTCCCAAACTGGGGGTGTGCCCCTCTGGGGGGGCGTGAAGAAATTTGGGGGGGGGTGAGGCAACCCAGCCCCACACACTCCCGTCAATCCCACCCCAAGTTTTGCAGCTATTGTTAGGGGAGGGGAGGTGTGAGGGTTTCTGAAAAATCAAAAAGGGGGCGTGATGCCGAAAAGTCTGGGAAGCACTGGTTTAGAGCAACGTGGGAATAACTCCTGTGTCCCTGCAGGAAGAAGAAAGACACTCAGGGCTTCGGTGAAGAATCTAGGGAGCCAAATACCGGTAATAGGCTCAATGAGTGAATACCTTATCTGTGACTATCAGTGTATTGTTTTGCTTAGCCTGAGTACTGCACAGCTGGCTGTGAATGGTGCACTTCTTCACACAGGCGGCTTTTCTCTGATTAATCAAAGCTGTGTGGGAAACCTCTAAGTCAAAAGTGCTTAACATGAACCCATTTCTGAGACCCCCAAACACAAGTTAACAGATTGATCCATAGCTAAATTGGTCAGCCTGTCAGTCTCTGCTTTTAACTTGATGAGACGACATCTGCCTCTGCTGGCACTACTCTTCCTCTCAGTATTGTGACTTGGAGAAGGAGTCCTAAGTTTTACAGTGTACAATCCTTCAGACATTTTTGGACATTAGCATCTATTCTGCAGAAGAGCTCAGTACCTTTATGCATTGATTTCCTCATTAACACATGTGCTTTTAAGTTACCCTTTTGTATTTATCCTCATTATGGTGAATGATTGAGGTGGGAAGACAGATATAGCCTAACTAGGCACACACTGCCCACCTGGAGTCTATTTGTTCCCTCCTGTAGGCCTCTCCCTCCTCTAGGCCACTCCCTCCCCATCTGATAGGGCCTGTTCTCTTCCCAGCTGCCGGGGTCTATCTGTGCCTCCTCTCCAACCCCCAGTGCTGCAGCCAAAGGGCTGGGAGCAGGGGAAAGGTTTGGGGTAGGGGTATGCTGACCATACATCACAAATTTAAATACTCTAGCCTGGTGTCCTCATCAAGTAGTGAAATGGCGTTCATGTTAGTGACAGACTGAAATTAGGTGGTGGTCATCCCACCTCGTTTATCCTTTGTAACACTCAATTTTTATATTGTACTAACAGCTGATGACGTATTTCAGTTAATATTGAAAATGTAATGCATAAATGGGCATGTGTGTTTGTATTTGTTAAAAGGTTTTACCTTTGATTTTCTAGGTGACAATATCAGGGAGTTTTTGTTGAGTCTCAGGTACTTTCGAATTTTCATTGCCTTGTGGAATATCTTCATGATGTTTTGCATGATTGTGTAAGTAGAACCAAATAGGATCTTATTGCTGTAATTTTCTGAAGTTAGACATCTTGTTTTTATCCCTAGCTTTCTGGTCCCTTTGTCTTCCTTTGGTTTTGGGCTGTTGAACTTCATTTGTTTCAGTTTTGATCTGCAAGGAGATGTTCCCGTCTGGCACTTGTAATGCATGTTTCTTTGCTCATCACCATGAATCTAGTGCTTCTTACCATGTGTTCCTTAAATATGTCAATTATATGGAGGCAAATGACTTTAGTAGTATCTTGAATATAAAAAAGAAAAATCAATCTCTCTCTCTCTCTCTTTCTCTGTCATTCTCAGAAAAAACAGTGCTCGTGCTTGTTCTCAATGGACAACCTATCAAAATAGCTGCTAGCTTTTCACCTGTGTAGCTATATAGTCCTGTGAATGGGAAAATAGAATTACCCCAGATATGTATTAACATCTCTTCTGACTGTCATGATGTTTAATTGGAGGACTAGTATACAATTACACCCAATTCTCAACTACTTTGTGTTTTCTGTTATCTGCTAGGTTATTTGGATCTTGAAAGTCACCAAGAAACCTGTTTGGAGAGCAGTCTTTGGTAACTTGGACTTTCAGCTGGAAACATGATTTTTCCATCGATTAAAAGACTGCAGTATTTTCAAAATATCAACAAAGAGTTTTTATCTGTTCTTCTATACAAGTCTTAAATGTTAAAGGAACAGGACACAACTCGTAACTTTAACCAGATTGTAAGATGGTGTTATCATTATTTAAATAAAGTAGCTTACTGTTAAAGGGTGGAGAGCACTTTCATGATGGTAGACACACAAACTGACCCTCCTGGATAATAATTACCAAAAGTATGGTCTGACTTATGGGACTTTTTCACATTTTTTCAGCAGTCCCTGATAAATGCTGGACTATCAGCAAACACACGTCAGCCCATTTGTGCGCCCACCTCTAGCTTGCCTTTCTGTGAGTGTCGGTTTTTAGGCCTACCAACCTAGACACTCAAGCAAAATTTTTAAAGTTGTCTAGCACACATAAATAACTGTAGAACAATAACATCTAATGGTCAGAGGAATCTCTGCTTTCACTCACTCCTTGCTCTTCATTTCTTATTGCATAGTATAGGCTATTTGAGGAACTGCTGCTCTATTGTTTGCCATTTGTAATGCATTTTTATAAAGTATAGCAAAATAATGTTATGTTGCTGTAATTGTAATGATTGGTCACATGTATTTGACTGTAGAGAGCTGCATATCACCCTAAATATCTGGATGTTGGGGACTGAACAATAAAGGAATAACTTATGGGAAGAAGAGGAGGAGAATTGTTATTCGCTATATCATATATTTTTCTGCAAACTGCCCTAAAGTATTTACTTACTGAGACAGGCAGATTTTTATGGACATAGAGTTGGTAAAGCCCACCAGAATTAACCTTTCATTCCCAAGTTGGTTATAAATGCCATTGAAGTTGAAATAACTGAGCATGAGTGTACAGACACTGTTTCTTATATAATTATGACAAGGCACAGAGTTGGGTTACCTGCTAGCCCTTGGTCTTCAGGTGCTCTGGAAAATCCTGAAAGGATACAAAGGGCTGGGGGCTAGAGAGATATTAATATACACCTTTAAACAGTTAACCAATGAGCCTGGGCTTATAGGAATGATTACACACAAGCACACCCCCCCACACACACACATACACTTTTAAGCCGGCTCCCTGTGAGCATTGCTACCTTGCGTTGCTGCCTCTCATACCTGCAGCAGTGTGGGGGAGGGAGAGGGAGGCAGGAAGGAGCCAGTGCTCATGGAGCCATCTCTTAAGTTGGCTTCCAGAGCTGCCTGCTTCTCCCCCTTGCACTGCTGCCTCCGTTGCTTCCCCTGTGTGTAAACATCTCACTACTGAAATTTTCAGCGGTGACACATTTACCAAAAAAACCCCAAACTGCTTTTTAATATCCCTACATGGGGACCCAGGTCAGGGTAAAAAAGTCTGACCTGAAGATTTTGCGTAGAACAAGAACAACTCGTTAGGATAAGAGTCTGCTGGCATTAAGATTTTTTTTGTGAATTAGCCTTAGCTATGTGCTTTTATTTCATTAACTTAGTAACTTACTTTGATCTGTCTATTTTTACTTGTAGCCGCTTAAATCCTTCTGTTTGTAATTCTGTTTCGTAAACATTTTTGTTTACTATCAGGCCCTGCATCAATCATTTTTACCTGGAGGGAATGATCAGTGTGCATCTCTCTTTCATTGATAAAGCGGGCAAACTTCCCCAAGCTTTCCTTGTGTAAAACTTACACAGAAAAGAGGGATTTATGTGGGGTTGGTTTCCTGTATGCTATACCCTAGAACTACATTCTCCCGGAGCTGAAGTGGTTCAGTGTCTGCTTTGCTTTTCAGGGAGCAGACCCAACTCTGCCTTGTCTGGGGGAAACCAGAAGATCTGGTCCAGCAGGACAGAGTGATGGGGAGTCCCAGAAAGCAAAAAGGCAGATGTCAGTGGCGTGATCAGCACACCAGGGAACAATCTCAAGAGGTCTTCTGTGACCACACCTTTTCACACTCCCTGAATTTCATCTCTGGATTGATCAGGTCTCCGTTGCAAAGAGCCTGATACCAGCCATGAAATTTATATTGCCTAGGGAGGCTGTGGAATCTCCATCACTGGAGATTTTTAGACAATCACCTGTCAGGGATAGTCTAGATAGTGGCTACGTCTACACAGGTATGATTTTCCGGAAATGCTTAAAATGGAACAGTTTTCCGTTATAAGTATTTCCGGAAAAAGAGCGTCTACATTGGCAGGATGCTTTTCCGGAAAAGCGTCTGTGGCCAATGTAGACACGCTTTTCCGCAAAAAAGCCCCCATCGTCATTTTTGCGATCGGGGTTTTTTTGCCGAAAAGACTACTGGGCTGTCTACACTGGCCCTTTTCCGGAACAGTTTTCCGGAAAAAGGACTTTTGCCCGAACGGGATCAGCATAGTATTTCCGGAAAAGCAGCTGATTTCTTACAGTAGATCGTCAGTGCTTTTCCGGAAATTCAAGGGGCCAGTGTAGACAGCTGGCAAGTTATTCCGGAAAAGCGGCTGCTTTTCCGGAATAAGTGGCCCAGTGTAGACACAGCCAGTGAGTGCAGGAGACTGGACTTGATGACCTCTTAAGGTTCCTTCCAGTTCTAGTGTTTTATGATTTTATGTATGTCCTAGGATATGGACTGTACCTTGTATCTTGCACTGTACAATAGGTATTTCATTATGTGGCTTCAAAAGGACCTCGGTGAAGAGGAGCATCTTTACTCTGCTCTACATCATGTTTTTGTGCCTTGGGTAGCCTCAACTAAAATGAAATGCAGTAATCTGCACAGATTTCAGAAATGCTTTCCGATTTATCAGCAAGGTTGGTAGCACAAAGGAACACTTACAGCCCTAGGCTAACGCTAAATGAATTGTACCCTATTTTAATGCTCTCTTGTAATTTTTCCAATTTTTGTATATAACCCCATGCGCTAATGCTTTTTTCACTTTTATGTTTGTATTTAATCTTCCTATAAAATATGGGAACAATAAAGCAGTGTCGATTTTAAAGCACTGCACATAAAAATAGAATGCCAAAGAGTGTTTAGATTCAGGCTCTCACCCAGCAAACATTTATGCATGAATTTAACCTCGTGTACGTTAGTTCCATTGAGTTCAATAGCACTACTTATGCGTGTAAAGTTTTTAAGCAAATTGGAGCCTAAATTAAGATAAGGACAAGAGCAAATGACAAATACAGGTAGGACTTGAGGGGTGGTGAGAAAACACAAGATCCCACTGTGTCAGCTGGTTCAATAATTCAGTACACTTGAACTTCTGTACACTGGGTAACCCTAATCTGGGAACACCTGTGGGGTGGAGTAGGAAGCAGGTTTGCATGTTGTAATTCCCCCTGACCCTCAGCTGGGGGAATGGCAGTGCACAGAGTTGGTTCCCCTGAGGCTTCTTGGTGCCTGAAAGCAGCAGGGAGTGCAAATCCATGTGCCTCTCCCAGGTGTGGGGCAGCAGATAAGTGCTCCAACCCTACCCCTTCATGTCCAGATCCATAGCACCCTCTCTGGCCTGGCAAAATCTTTAATTCGGCATACCCTGGACCTGTTTTCTTATTTGTGCCTTATACAGAACTGAGGACATAGTGCAATTATTCCTGTTAAGAATGGCCATACTGGATCAGACCAAAGATCCATCTAGCTCAGTATCCTGCCCTCTGACAGTGGCCAATGCCAGGTGCCCAAGAAATAATGAACAGAACAGGCATTCCTCAAGTGCTCCATCCCCTGTTATCCATTGCCAGCTTCTGACAGGCTAGGGACACCATTTCTGCCCATCCTGACTAATAGTCATTGATGAGCCTAAATAATGAATTTAGCTCTTTTTTGAACCCTATTATAGTGTTGGTCTTCACAACATCCTTTGGCAAGGAGTTCCATAGGTTGACTGCATTGTGTGAAGAAATACTTCCTTTTGTTTGTTTCAAACAGTTACCTATTAATTTCATTTGGTGACTTGTAGTTCTTATGTTATGGGAAGGAGTAAATAACTGTTTCTTACTTTCTCCACACCAGTCATGATTTTATAGTCCTCTATCATAATCCCCCCCTTAGTCTTCTTTTCTGAAATGAAAAATCCCAGTCCTAATAATCTCTCCTTAAATGTCAGCTGCTCCAAACCCCCAAATATTTTTGTTGCCCTTTTATGAACTTCCCAATGCTAAGATGATTTTTTTGGAGCCAAGGTGACCACATTTGCATGCAGTATTCAAGATGAGGGCATGCTATGTTCCTCCTTGTGGGACAGAAAACACTCCACCGTGTGCTTTGTTTGCTCTTGCTGACACCACTGCACTTCCACTATGGAGCAAAGCACTCACCAGCTCTTAGACCTGCTGCTACAGCTCCTGGTGCAGTTTATGCAGGCTCCCCTTGTAGCACTGCTTGAGGATAACAACCAACCTAAGATGGGTGAGCCCCCTTGCCCAGGTGCTCCTCATGCACCACATTACCTCTCACCTCCACCCTACCCACTGTACACTGCCACTTCTGGCACTGGGACTGACTCTACATTGCCACTTCTGGCACTGGGACACCAGTTCCAACTGGTGGGACTGAATCATCATGGAGTGATGGGATGACCAGCAGTGGCTCCAAACGTCTACACACAGAAGGACACCTTCCTGGAGCTCTACAAGTGCATTGCCCCTACTCTGTGGCAACAGTACACCCAGATGTGACCCACCATGCCCCTCTAGAAGCATGTTGCCATCGCTATTTGGAAACTCGCCACGCCGGACAGCTACCTCTCCATCGGGAACCAGTTCACTGTGGAGAGATCAACCATGGGGGCCAGGCACAGGAAGGTATCATGCTCTTGGGCTATTGTCGCAGGAGGGCAGTGAACTACTGGAATGGGATTCCCTTGCGTAGGGGGTGGTAGACTCTCCCTCCCTGGAGGTTTTTCAGTCCCACCTTTACAAAGCCCTACTGGGGATGTGGTAATTGTGGTTGGTCCTGCTGTGGGAAGGGGCTTGGGCTTGGGGAGCACCCGTGGGCTCTGGCAAATCTGTGATTCCATGAGTCTATCACTCTACAGGTGGTGAGCATGGTTCCTTCTAAGCTGCATGCTTGTACGCACGCATACAGAAGAAATTTCTACCCTGTCCACCTCCTAAGCAGAGCCACATAGCAGTGCGGCAGGAGGCAGGTGACCAGCCGGTCAGGGCCAGAGGAACTGCATGGCGGACGGTGGCTCCAGTTGGCTAGGGCTGGAAGAATCCTGTGCCAGGCTGCTCTGGCCAATCGAAGGAACCGCATGGAGGGCAGGTTGCTGCTGCCAGGTTTTGGGGCCATGGACAGGTGGGAGGGTTGCTACCGGCAGGGGATGGAACTGCAGGCTGGAGAGGTGCTGCTGTCAGGGGTTGGGGCTGCAGGAAGACAGGTTGCTACTGCCAGGGTTTGGAGCTGTGGGCAGGCCCTATTGAGGCGGAGGGGGGGAGGGGCAGGGGCTAGGAGATCCATTTGGCCCGGATCTCAGGAGACAAACAGGCCTTAAATGTTGACATTTTTCTACCAAGTCATTTCCATTTATTATACACCTTGCAGTTAGAACAGTGACAACAACAAAAGTTGTATATAGATACCTGCAAACATTGATTTAAAGCATTGTGGGACCTCAGGCCTTCACCAATTTTTTGGTTACATCTGCATGACTGGATTAGTGGTTCTACATTATGAAACACTGTTTACAGTCTTTGCATAGTTTAGAGGTTTTGA